ATACGTCCGTCTTCCTTGTGGGACTAAAAAAAAATTCAAATGTTTTTCAACATAAATAAGAGTAATCAATAATAGTCTTTTGTTAATGAGTATTTTAAAAGCCCTTGTGAAGAATAATTATGCATTATTTAAAAAATGTATATATATTATAGAGTATATAAAAAAAATCAATACACTTTGAATACTCATTAACATTAAAATTATATGGACATCTAAATTGGTAGCCGAGTTTAATCTCATTTAGGAAATTGAAATCTATTGTAGGTGGGTCAATTAACCATATAGATTTATTTGGTGTAATTTGTTATAAGTTAAAAGTTAATAATCAAAAAAATAAAAGACAAAAATACCTTATTTTAGCTTTCAAATAATTAGTATAATTTATATTTATTGAGTTGGACCAAGCACTCTAACACAAACTATTAAAAAAAATTAAATTGTAAAGAGCTCAAAGAAATTTGACCAAACAACCCCCAATAAATTTTAAGGTGTACGCAAGCTTTAATTAATTGCTCCAAAGAAAAAGTCAGCCTGCCTTGATTATGCTCACCGAACCTCTTAAGGGGGAGCTTTGATTTTTATGTTACAATTACAGCCTATCACCTACCTCATGAAAAGTATGATCTATTTGGATTTTAAAAATATTACATATCAATTTCACTATAATTTTATATTTTAATATTTTTTATGTTTTAATTATTTAAAAATTAAAAGACGTTTTGAAAATTTTGAGAGAAGTATTTATAGATCAGTTTTTTTAAATTTTTATAAAATTCTTAAACCGTCCTATCAATTCTTTTTTTAACAAAGTTTAAAAAATTTAATAAAAATAAATAAAATATAAATGTTAAATTTTTTTGACGAAATAACACGTCTAACTCTCTCCCTCTCCAATGATGATGTAAGGATGATGCTATGATGTTCTCATAGGGAAAAAATAAAGATTTCCATTTATATAGTTATCATAGCCATGTTAAGTATTGAAATAAATGCCATAATTAGCATTGAAATATATACATATACATAGAAGGAAAATTTAGTCAAAATTTTCTAGACCCGACATGTTAATGTATAAAGAACAAATTAAAATAATTTGCTTTTTAAATTTCTTGAGTAACAAGCACTTCCTCTATGAAAAACATATTAAAGTTACGTTTGGCAATGGATTTTTGACTAAAAAAATACACAAAAATAAAATTGACTACATAAGTCAATAAGACAAAATATCGCATTTAAATCATAATTATTACATTTTTTCTCTTACAAAAGTCAAAAACAAAAACCAAACGAGACTAAAATAGTTAAAAAATTAAAAAGTCAAGCTATTTTAACTCTTCCCAAATAAAGGCTAAAAGAGAGTCCCCAAGTCAGGTGAAGGTCATGACCAAAAAAAATAAGACCACTCCTACATATTATTTAAATATTTTATTAAAAATTTTCACACTTGAATGTTTTATTTGTATATGTGCTTTTATCATTTCTATTAAATATTATGATTCCACACACATACATAGCTTAGCTTTTATTATATAAATACACATACAATAATGTCACTATCCAAAATTTATAATTTAGCCCCCGTTTGAGAAGTGGGTTGGCTTTTTGGCTTTTTGATTTTTTTAGCTATTTTAGCCTGGGCTTAAAAACTTGGTTTGGGAAGGACTTTTTTGCTTTTTGACTTTTTTGAATTTTTTTGTGAGAAAAGAATGTAATGATTATGAATTAAATGTGATGTTTTATTTGTTATGGTTAAAATAACCTATTTTATTTTTTTGTTTTCTTCGTAACTCATTAAATTCACTACCTAAGAAAGCTTATTGGGGGAAGTAACAAACAAAACAAAAACAAAAAAAGGTTAAACACGTGAGATACATGCTTACAACTTGCATTTAGAAATTCATCCACCCAAAAAATAATTCTGTTTTATTTAGTTTAGATCTTATTATACAAGAATTGAATCTAAACAATAATTTTAAAAAATAAATTTCTAAACACAAAATTTAATTATATAATTTTGTACGAAAAATATATAGTTAACGACTGACATGCTACTTTATTACAACATGTCAAAATAAAAAATTATTCCAAACTCGAGTTTAGCTCAATTGTTTTCTTATGAGAAGGTTAATATTTGAATTTATGAAAAAGTATTATTTTACTTAGGGTCCGTTTGGGAAGATGATTTGTGGCTAAAATAGCCACAAAAGATAAAATAAACTATTTTAGTCACAACAAACAAAACATCACATCCAACCCATAATCATTACACTCTTCTTTCACAAAAAAAGTTAAAAAAGTCAAAAAATCTTTCTCAAACTAAACTTTTTAACCCAAACTAAAATAACAAAAAAAATCAAAAAGCCAACTCACTTCCCCAGCCAACCCTTACAAGCTGACTAACAAACGCCCTACTTTTAGCAATGAAAAAAACAAAGGCTATCCCACGGATGGACATGACTCTCTACTTAATGTTATATTTGAATTTTGAGCATGTGGAAAAGACAAAAAAAAAACAGAAAAAAATATTTAAAAAGACGCCTAAATATGAAATAAATGAAAAAAATAATTATAAATTAATAGAGTGCAAGTGCAGCATGTTCCTTGTGCAAGTGGATATTGTACAATTATTTTTCCCACTTCCACTTATTGATTTGCACTGACTGATGTGATGTTTTGACCTTAAGTTTTTTTTTTCTTTTTTTTTTTTTGAATTTCCACCTCATTAGTGGTCCATTAGTGCTCCCAAATTAATGGGATGTATCATTGTTGTTATAAATTAATAGAGTGCAAGTGCAGCATGTTCCTTGTGCAAGTGGATATTGTACAATTATTTTTCCCACTTCCACTTATTGATTTGCATTTATTTTTCTTCATTTCCTATTTATTTGATAATAAAAATAAATAAATAACTTCTACTTCTTTTCTTTTTTGATTCAACAAATAACTTGTACTTCGTTCACTTTCCATTCCTTCTTCCTTTTTCTAAACAATCAAATATCCGATAATTTTTCAACGATGAATCAAACTTTGCATTAGATTTAAAATTTAGTGAAAAAGTCACTTTTTGGAGCTCTAATGGTTTTACCAAATTGGTATCAAAATGATAATCGAACAAAAAATTCGTCAAAGTGAGAACATGCTTCAGATTTTACCATTTCATTGTGCGTTACCGTTGAGGTGGGCCAACCGGTCAACCAACAGGTTGTCCGCCCAGTTAACCAACCGGTCGACCGGCTCCTTTCAAATAGGTAGGTTCAAACCAATCAAAAAGGTTCAAACAGATTTTAAAAAAAAAAAAATTTGCCTTACTGGTCGACCGGCCGGTCAACCAACCGGTCAACCATTTCCCTTTTGATGCACGGTTGGAACAAATGGTAACAGATTAAGAAAATTGGCTTTTTTTTACTCAAATTTGGTGAAAATTTTAGTTCGCCGTTGGAGATGCTCTTAAAGATCAATTTTTGATGCATTTAGGGCTTTTTAACAAGCAGCCACAGTAGATTTCTTGAATTCATCACAAATTTGCTACAGCATTAACAATGGTTTCAAGATACAGATATTGTCAAACATTTTAATCAATTATCCAATTTGACTTTCTAAGTATTGCAGTAGCTTCCTAAGCTTCAAGCTAAATTAGTACTTCAATGTACTTCTAACAGCCACTTCTAAAGCATCCAAATAAACATATATAGCAGCAATATATATTTATATATGTTATGTCTCTATTGATCAGAAACAGCAGAAATCACTCATGATCTGATTGTTTTGAACTTATGCAGAGAAAATTAGATAAAAATATTTAACATTGAACTCTTTTGAGATGGTAGGTATACACTTTTATAGATAGTAAAAGAAAATAAATTTCATTCAATGTGTTTGGTGTATAAATGGAATGCTTTAATAGATGTCACAAACTTCATACAGCAACCACAAAAACTGTTCTTGAAAATCACAACCTTTGACAAGGCTTTGGTAGATGGCTCTTTTCAATGCAATCCATACCTTCTATGCAAGAAAATGCCCATGGAGATTCACCAAAAAATAGAAGATGACAATATGCTGCTAAGCAACAATATACATAAACACACAAGTGACTATATGAAATTAATAAGTTTTCTATCCACAGTCCGGGCATTATAATTTTCATTTTATAACAATCTTAGAAGTACTTCAGGTCACAAAATTTCATACCTGAAGATTTAAGTTGAGGATTCAGGTCCGGATCAAATCCAAACGCCTCATGCCATCATCTTAGTCTAAGCAATACCAGAGATATCTCAATTCTCTTAATGCAAAACTAGGTTCAATAATGAGGCAGAAATATGCTACATCATGACAATGAAAATGGGAATTAGAGTCAACATTTGAAGGAGAACTTGAGCCTAAAGTAGCATAGATCAATTACACCTAACTTAGTTGGCCATCATTACTTTCCTAAGAGCTTAGTTCCTTGAGGAGGTCATAAGCTCAACTCAAGAGAATTGAATTAAGGGGGCGAACATTTTGTGCTTTGTATAAAGTGGAAAAGTTAACTCTCATAAGTGTTAACAACTAACAACTAACATCTGACTTTCGCCGATCAAAAAATAACATTGCCCTTTTGAGATGCTACCAAAAATAGCAAGGCTTAATGCTGTGTTTGGTTTGAAAATTTGAGGAATGAATTAGAAAAGAAAAAGTAAGTGAAATATGAATAAAATATACCTATATTTCACCTAATTTCACTCATTTTCCCTTTCCCTTTCCCTTTCCCTTTTCAAATCTCTTTCCAAATCTCCAAACTAAACACAGCGTTAGGAGATCTGTATTTGTAACATCAAGGCAAACATGCCCTAATACCTATCATTATTTATTAAACAATGCAAAGGACCAAAGAGAGTCTGCATACATCTGCCAGTTTCAGTTCCTCCTGCAGTTATACACATCCTCTTGACATAGTTGCTATCTATGCTATACAATAATACCAAATATGAATTCTATGGAGGAAATTAGCGAGAAGATGGAGAGGAAAACCATGAAAAACTTATCTTTGCTACTTTTAATAGAGGACACCAACCCTTCAAATGTATATTATTCCACTTTTTCACCTACAAAACTATCTTCTATCATTTACAAAAATGAAAATAATTGGATTTAACCACAAACGGAGCCTCATCTTCTCATATTGATATATTGAGATCAATCCGAGGTTTCTTCATTGCAACGGGTGACGGAACAATCATATTGCACCGAGGGCACTTGGGGTTGTTTTTTGATATCAGCACGTAAAGCAGGCAACTTGGGCAGCCAGCTGCAAACGACGATGGCAATTTGTCCTCGTATTCCGTTTCGGTTTCTTTGATTGAAGATGAAGAATTGGAAGATGGTGACGATAATTGTGACATTGATATTGACCGCTTCTTGATTGTTTCTTTCTCTGCTCTTTCAAGAGCGGATTTCACTTTATCCAGAGTGCATACACTTTGGTACTTCGCTGATGATGTTGAAACAAGCTCTAGGTCTAAGCTGGTGTCGTCGAAGAGGTTTAATGGTTGTTTCGATGAAGGAGGGAAGTTTAGGTCTTGAAGCTTTGGAACTATTTCATCTGTCTGGTGCTTATGGTCTGATGATAAAGATGACGAGTTTGGAGAGTCGCATCTTTGGACATAAACTTTTCCTGACTGTAATGAAAAAACGAAAAATAAGAATATTCAAAATTAGAACAACCGGAGTCAAGATTTACAAAATATGTGTACTTAGAGAAAGGAAGAAATTTTAGAAGATTTTAGTATTCATCAATACAACAAGGGTTAAATTCCTAAAAAGAAAAAGGGGATTAATTGTTCTATTTCTGATTAAATGGGAAGGATAGTGATCAAAAAACAAGCCAAGACTGAAAAATAAAATCAAAAGAGCAAAAACTATTGGCAATATTTTTCAAAAAGAAACAGATAAAACAATAAAATCTATTTACAAATCTCTTCCATAAAGAAAACTAGAAAGAAATCTTCTTGCCATCAATAGATTCATGCCACTCAAATCAACTTGAGGTCATTTTTATCCCAAAAAATAGATTGAATAAATAAATAAAACTACAAGTTTGCATTAAGGATGGGTTTGTTCTATTCAAATTGAATACTCCTACATTTGAGTATGCATACACAAGCATACAAAAATAATTGCTAATATCTATTCTATTTTATAAAAGCACACAACACATGACACGTTCTGAAGTTATGTCACGCTTTTTCTCATACCCAAAGTTCACCTATGCAACTATCCTGAATTTTTATTTAAATTTTTGTTTCAGTTTTTTATTTTTATTTTTATTTTTTTCTTCCCATGTACCTTCAACATTTTTAACTCCTTAACTTTTTTTTTTCTTAAGCCCTCCCATGAATGTCACTAGGAGTTCAAGAGATCCATTCCCCATCAGTTTTTTTTTTTTTTTTCATAATATACCTTCAACATTTTTAACTCATATTAACTTTTTTTTTCTTATGCCCTCCCATGAATGTCACTAGGAGTTCAAGAGATCCATTCCCCATCCATTGTAACAAACAAAGAGTTAACCTATAATGCTGATAAGAAGCAACTTTTCAATAGGATGGCAAACAAGCTAAGCCAAGTTTTAGTGTATTTGAACTTATTTATTACGATTTTCATGAGTTCGAACTTGGGCTTGAGCTTGATCTCAATAAAAATTTAATGAATCGAGCTCAAGCCGAGTTGGCTTAGGCTTGACTCGAGCTTGAGCCTGTTCACGAGCCTTAACAAGCCAAAAAAAATTATAAATTCATACTTGCATATGAGACTAAATTTATAATTAAAAATTTGATTATACAATGACATATAATATATAAACATACTAAAAAAAAGTCAATATTTTACCAAAATGTTGAGTTTTTTTAACCAATATTATATAAATATATTATCTATAATTAGCTATTATTTACATTTACATTTTTTAAATATATAAATAACATATTCATCTTTTTTTTTATAAATATTTTTACATTATTTAATATATAAATAATAAATGTTAAACAGCCAACTAACTAGTTGAGCTTAGGAGCCAAGTTTTTAGTATATTTGGACTTGTTTATTAAAATCTTGCTCGACTGCATAAAAAATTAACCAACAGAGTTCGAATGAACTCTTACCGAGCCTGTTCATGAAAGCCTCTAATCATTTGCTACCCTACTTTTCAATAATTTTTCATAGAGAATGAGCATAATAAATTACTGCAAATACTTAAATACTTATTGCAACAACATTAATACCATAATTGCTGCTATTTCATTTTCATTTTTACCAGAATTGTAGATATAACGAAAACACTTTTTTTTTTTTTTTAAATAAAACAGTGCAATCGAAAAAAAGGTCATGAATTAGACATGAAATTAAACACTATAAAAACTAAAACCCTATATTCAACAGTGACTTTGGCGTGATAAACATGATTTCTTTTTTTCTTTTTTTCTCTCGTAGATGTCAAACCAACATAACAATTTCTTTTATTTTCTTTGCTCGATCCTCATGTTTCGCAGCAACCAAACACGAAAATAAAAATTAAAAAAAAAATAAAAATTAAGAGAAGGGGGCAAACAAGAATAAAGAATACCTTCAAGTCGAGACGCTTTTCCCAGCCAGAGGGGACTTGCAAATCGAGGTCCAATTCTTTGGAATCAAGCGCACAATCACCCCCAAGCAAGTCTCGAGTAATCAGCACCGCCGATTTCCCACCGCCGCCGGATTCGTTCATCACCGGCTGATTCTTCTTGTAAGCGTTCATAATCCGAACCAGGGAGCTAACCTCAGCAGCCATTCCCTTAGGTTTCGTGCACAGTAGCAGACACAAACACTATTATAGAAAAGAGAGAGAGAGAAAGAGGATTCAGAACAAATGGATGTAATGAATAACAGAATAAAGATGGGGGATATATATAGAGAGAGAGAAAGAGATATTAATGGGGTTGGATTTAAGGTAGAGAGCAATATCAGTGAAATGAAGTTCCGTTATGTATATATATGTATAAAAAAAATATTAGTATCGTAAATTCCATTTTGGAACCCCGCTGCATACCCCAGTGGGGGTCGCGCCCCACTGGCCGAAAACTTTTAAAAAAAAAAAAAAATTTTTTTTTGGGCCAATCCCTCAGTAACACCTCACTGGGTGTAGGGAGCATTTTTGTTACATTTTGTGTCCTTAAATATTACCTAAATAAATCTGCTTTATTCATTGAAGGGTATTTTTTTTTTTAATACCCACCCTCATTATAACTATACTTTTATTCCTATTAGTTTAAATAATAATGTTACCTCCTCTAATTTATGACCTCTAAATCATTTCTAATAATGTGGCGTTAAAGTTAAACCCTATATAATAAAATATTTGACAAATTAAAATTTAACAGTTAGGCCTCGTTTGGGTATAGATTTTTTTAGTAATTTTTTAACTTTTTAGCTAAAATATGATATAAAAAAATGAGTAAGTTTGGGATGATTTTTTGATTTTTTACGAAAAGATGAACAAAAAGTAAATAAAAAATGAAATCTTTAACTTTTTTATATAGATTGTTGACTTTTTAATTTTTTGTGACTTTTTAGCTTTTAGACTAAAAAGTGATGTTGTCAAACGAGACCTTATTAGACATATCATTAGGAGTGATTTTTAAAGATGATAAATTAGATGTCTCAAGTATTTTTCTATTTTGAAACTCTAATCCCAATGCTAATCATTTTCGGTCGTTACAACCACCTCTTTTTCACATTCAAATTATGTACCCTCGTCACTCTTTCTCACCATCTCTCACTTCTTTCCTTTTTCCTGCCACCACTTAGATCCCCTCTACCAATATGACCCCTTGACAACACACACCCCATCACCATAACCTCTCTCTTATTCTTTTTATTTTCTTCATCATTTTCTCATCTATGCGGTGAAATCTTTTTTCTCTATTGCTCTATTTTACATAATATGCAATAAAAATTTTACTAAATGGTGAGGTGTGCAAAGAAGAACAATGAGGGACCTTTATAAAGAATTCACATTGACATTTTTTGCCAATTGAGTAAATTATTGTTAGTAATTGAAAATTTTGCATAATTAAAATATTGAATTTGATTAAAAAATATTTGGGGACCAAATTATAAATTTCATATACTTTAGGAAGTAAAATGTAATTTGCCTTAAAAGATAATTATTGCAATTAATTTGAAAAATATATAAGGAAAAATCAAATTGAAATTAATATGTATGTAATTATATTAAATGGTATTTAATGAGGGGGCATTGAAAGAGTTAAAGAAGGTGAGGGGAAGAATTCAAGGAAAGAAGGAAAGAGGGGGCCCGCCAGTAATGGCGGCATTAAATGCTATGACGGGTTGGAGAATACTAGCGGACAGCTGTCCTTTATTGGAGAGAGATATATAGCTATTGGTAAGCCCATCATCATTAATGAAAGGTTCCAAAAATGGCTCTTTCAAATTTGATTTATATCTCTCCAATTGTCCACATTTAAATTTTAAAGGTTGTTTTTTTCAACAAAAATAAGATAAAAAAGAAAATTTGAAATAAAATAGTACTTTATTTGACAAATGTTAATGAGTGCTTAAGTCATTCGTTAAGATATAGTTTGTCTTTTGGGGAAAAATAATAATAATAATAATGGGACATCTATACACAATTTTTAATTTATAAATTTGACGTTTTTTTTTTTAGAAAATTAAAAGTCACTTTTTGAATTTTAATTTATTTTAAGTCATATTATTTATTTTCTTTTTATATGTTTTTTTAAATAAAATCAAAACTAACTTTTCAAAACAATCTTAACTAATTTTTTTTTAGACCTTTAACCTTTCGTTTGGGTTGTGAGTTAATTTTTTGACTTTTTTATTATTTTAATTTAGCTTCCATTTGGGAAGTGGGTTGACTTTTTGATTTTTTGAATTTTTTGACTATTTTAACCTAAGCTAAAAAGTTTGATTTGGGAAAGACTTTTTGACTTTTTGACTCTTTTAACTTTTTTTGTAAAAGAATAGTGTAATGATTATGGGTTAGATGTGATGTTTTGTTTGTTATGGCTAAAATAGCCTATTTTGTCTTTTGTGGCTAAAATAGCCAAAAAACTCTTGCCAAACTGAGCCTTGGGGTTGTTTGGGATAGCCTAAATAAGTGCACTTTTTGTCTTTTTACGAAAAGATGTGCAGAAAAGTAGAGAGGTGATGTGATGGAAAAAAGATAAAAACATAGATTATTTGGGACTTCCCAAACTTGGCCTTAGAGTTAAAAAGTCTTGTTTGGAATAAGCTTTTTTGACTTTTATGTGAAAAAAAATAAATGTTTATAGTTTGAATGTAATATTTTGTCTTATTGACTTTTAAGCCTATTTTGTCTTTTTAGGACTATTTTAGCCTAGGTTTTTTTTATGCCAAACAACGCCTAAGGTCTCGTTTGGAAACATATTTTTTTAGTAATTTTTTGAATTATTGGCTAAAATATGATGTAAAAAAACTAATATATTTTTGATGACTTTTTATTTTTTATGAAAAGATGTGCAAAAAGTAAAAAAGAAATATGAATCTTTGACTTTTTGGTATAGGTTGTTGGCTTTTTATTTTTTTAATGATTTTTTTATTTTTAAGCTAAAAAGTGATGTTGTCAAACGAGACCTAAATCTCATTAAAATTTTAATAGTCAGAATTGTCTTTCAAATGATTATTGTTCATCATTTTATGATTATCTATAAAAAAATATATATATGATAGTTTGACAATTATTTTGATTTTTAAAATTTTAAAACATCAATTTTCAAATTGAAAAACTAAAAAAAATGTGCCAAAAAAAAAAACTAATCAGTGTGTATGGTTTCAATTTTCTGAATTCAATTTTATAAAAATTGAGTTTTTTATTTTTCATGTTTTTTTATTTTTAGTGAATATTTTTAAAATTGTAAACAATTTTTTTATTTTTTTAGATGCACCTTACTTTGATTTATCTAAATAGTAAAATATTTGTGAAAAAATATTCTAAAAAATTAATAAATACATAAAAATATGAAAATGTACTAATTTTTTATATTTTTTTTGTATTTTTGGTATTTACTGAATTTTTTAAATATTTTTTTCACAAATATTATACTTTTTAAGTGTATTTATGTTAGGTGTGTCTAAAAATTAAAAAATATTGCTTAAACTTTTTAAAAAATCAATGAAAACAAAAAAATACGAAAAACAAAAAAAATAGAATTTTCTGAAAAAGTTGAATTCTAGAAATGGAAACCAAGCAGAGTGAGTTTTTTAAAAAAAAAAATTTGAAAAAATTAAATCATTTTTTTGTGCAAAACTGAAAATTTTGTGTCTATAAACAAACATGATAATGGAACATTGATGTGCAAAATTGAAAAAAAAAAAACTTTAAAAATGAAAAAATTAATAATATTCTCAGTTTTATTGGATAGTTGAATCAAACCAATAAGTAGTAAGACAAAAATGTTTAATCTTATACTTTATTTTTTTTATCAGTTAGTAAAATAATTATCTGTAACATTACTATGTAAAATTGATGAATAATGTTATATGCACCAATTAATATACTAACTAATGTCCTAATTGATGATGCGACATAATTTAAGAGGTTTTTTGATATTTGTAATGTGATTAATCAGTGTGGTCAATAATAATGTCATAACTAGTGTTGGTACACTAATTAGTACATTAATTGGTGTATGTAGTACCACCAAAAATTAATAATGTTCTTAGTTATAAAAATTGAAAAAACTGATAATATTTTAAATTTTACTAAATAGGACTTACTGGTACAAAAAATCTTAAATAAGATCTAAGTTACTATAACATTTGTAAATAGGACTGTTAAGTGATTAATTATTGGGTGAATTACACTAGTAGTCCCTATAGTTTGGGGCTTATTTCACTTTGGTCCCTGACTTTTCAATTGTAACATATTTGACCCTGAATTTTGAATCTTATTCCAAATAAGGACAATTGAAGATATCATTAGATTTTTCAAGGGTAAAATCATCAATTTGATAAAATATAAACTAATTTGACAAAAATAAATATCAAACAAATATTTTAAAATTTTTAAAAATTATTTCTACCCACTAAAAATAAAATTATATAAAATTGATAAATCTTTTAGACATTTTTTTTTTTTACAAAATTAATTTTTATTATGTGTTTGGATGATGATCATGTAAAATTAATTTTAAAAAATTAATCATGTAATTTTTATTAATTTTTATCAATTTTATCATTGGTGGATAAAAATAATTTTAAAAAAATTAAAAATATTTTTTTGACATTTATTTTTGTCAAATTAGTTTATATTTTATTAAATTGGTGATTTTGCCCTTTAAATTAAACAATGGTATCTTCAATTGTCCTTATTTGGAACAAGATTCAAAATTCATGGTCAAATGTGTCACAATTGAAAAGTCAGGGACCAAAGTGACACGAGTCTCAAACTATAGAGACTATTTGTGTAATTTGCCCTTAATTATTTTTTAATTAACTTTTTAGAGTTGAGACTTTTTTTAGTTTGGAATTAAAAAGTTATTTTTGGGGTTTTTTTTTTGTTGACTTTTTTAACTTTTATTGAAAATAAAGTGAAATAATTATGATTTGAATGTGATATTTTATCTTATTAATTTTTTAATTTTTAGTGAGTAATTTAGCCCTAATCATAATTGCCAAACAAAGTATAATTAATAATCTATTTTGAATAATACTAGGGATCATGAAAAAAATATCATGAAATGTATCATGAAGATTTTTCATCCGTTGATTAGTATGTGGTGTTTTATTATATGTGTAATCCAAAAATGAAGAATATTTCATGATCATTTTCATGATATTTTTTTCATGATTTCTAACATTGCTCATCTATTATATAACAAAATGACTAAATTAATACCTTGATATTTTACCATCATTGAAATCGAAGATTCTCAAATTGTATTACTAAAA